TGTAATACAACCATAGTCTGAAACCAACTTCCAAACATTTCTTAGTGTACTTATAAGCTTTACTAAGATTCAGACTCTCCAACAGAAGGAATACCCATTAACGAATGTATTGATTAAATCCTCCTTCTGCACATTACTAGTATTTGTTGACAATAGTAAAGTCTTCAAACCAAGATATAAGTTATGCATTATTTGAGCATAATTCTCTAAACAAACTCAGAATATTCTTATTCTAAACCAAGGATAGAACTGCCACTTCTGAATGAGGTGGTAGAATATTTACGATTCACAGTTCCAAGTCTCTCCCATAGACTATCATAAAAAATGATGTTACAACATCATTTGGGACATTAACAACTTTACTACAGAAGCTATCAGCTTTCGTTCTGGAATCACCATCCAAGGTACTTATTTCCATACATTCCCTTTACAAACCTCCCAATCTACACAATAGGATCCCAATAGATCTCATATTCAGTATCTACCACAAATCAGAACATAATTTAAGAGACATAAACTCTCAAATATTTTCTGAAAAACATGTTCAGAAATCAAATTTGCACTCAATCATCAGACAAACACTTAACTCCCATCAAGGTATTTGTAGTCAACTTTCATGCATAATCCTAATAAATACTTTATCTCCAGTCAAAGTACATATCAGTTAGTCATATAGGATTACCTTTTCACACTAGGTAAGACTTTAATCTGACATCCTTCTTCTTCACACCTGTAATATTTTCTGAATCTTTGACATGACATCCAATCATGGCAACCAAAACATTCCAGATTAGGTCAGTGGCTTGACCTTAAACTCAACTTTGGAGAACACACAATTTTGCTTCTTACTGAACCATGATATGAGATAATTCCTCAGAAATAAACATCCTCCTAATGTACTTTTTTCTATCATCAACACTTCCTGCCTAATCAACATTACAATATCCACTTAATGCAGAACTAGATCCATGAGAATACAACATACCATAGTCACTTGTCCCATTCACACACTTTAGCATTCTCTTCACATGGTTGACATGGCTAATTTTGGGATCAACTTGATATCTAGCACATACCCCTTTTTCATCTTTAGACAACTTCAGATGTGTGGGAGCAGGTGTTCTCTTGTGACTGGCATTTTCCATCCCAAATTTCTTTATTATATTCTTCGTATATTTGCTCTGAGATAAGAATATGGAGTCTTCCGTTTGTTTAACTTGTAGACTAAGAAAGTAGGTTAACTCACCAACAAGGCTCATCTCAAATTCTGACTGCATTTGCTTGACAAAATGTTGAACCATCTCATTTGAAATCCCACATAAATCTGTGCAATCATTATCTTCCCTTCTTCTTCCTTGACAAAAAAAGTTTTGTCTATGCCACCTTTCCTATATCCATTCTCACCAAGAAATTATGTCAATCTCTCATACCAAGCTCTTGGAGTCTGCTTTAAACCATATAAAGCTTTCTTCAGTTTATACACATGGTTAGGAAAGCTTGGATCAACAAATCCCTTAGGTTGTTCCATATAAACTTCCTCATTCAAATAGCCATTTAAGAAGGCACTCTTTAAATCCATTTGAAATAACTTAAATTTCAGAATGCAAGCAACTCTTAAGAGTAGTCTGATTGAGTCAAGTCTGGCCACATGGGCGAATGTTTCATAAAAATTAACTCCTTCAATTTGAGTGTATCCTTGAGCAAAGGTCACTTTTATTGCTGAAGAAACTGAAATGTTGTTCCAACATCTGCTACAACATCATCCATTGTTACTATGGTTCTGGGGGAAACATCCATAGCAACTCATACTCAACTCTTGTGGGGGAAACACAGGGAAACATACCAACAACAACTGATCAATCTTCAGGATCAAACTACCAACATATGCAGGGGATTGCACGAGCCACATCTCAATAAGATTTTCTTCAGACCTCCTGTCTGAATTTGAGATAATGGATGCCATTGTCTGTACCTACAGAGGAGATATCCTCTATTAGGTATCTATATAGACTTTTCAAAGAAGTCTATTTCCCCTGATTCTTCAAAAATAATGCCCTTCAAATTTTAACATCTTCAAAGATGTCACGACATTCTGTTTGACATCATATCAACCCTTGACAAGGGGATCTTCTTCGACAACTTTTGAGGGTACACAAAAAGAATCACAAATTCTCTTCCTCAAGGGCAAACAAAACAATACCAGGAGTATCAAACATTATGGTTAGATCATAGTACTCCTTTTCAAACATAATCTGTTCTATAGCCACAAACAGGATTCGATGAATCTGGTTCCTTTGATCAGAAGGATCTTCCAGATATGAGCTCATCTCATAAAGGGTATGGTGGAGATTCCTTCATGAATTTTTCTCAAGAACATGGAGCTCAACCTCTATACTCACATAAGCCTTGGTCCGAAATAAACTGACACATGAAGTAAATAAATTATTGATCATATCCTGATCAACCTGCACAAACAAGATGCCTCCTCTTCCAGATCAGGAGTAGGTTCCAAACAAAAAGTATTCATAACATTTTTTTTCAGCACCCAAGGCATCTGTTCTTCAACTGGTAGTTGCATACCTGCTGAAATAATGTTCTAACATCCCATAAAACATCAATTCCTTCTTCTTGGAACACACCATCCTTAATAGTCTTCAAAGTCAATATGAAGATGTATATGAGCATCATTGGTCATTGATTCTCATCAACCTTATTGATAAATGTCTTTATGAGTGGACTTGAGGAAGATCTCAAGTATCTTTGATACTTTTAATACGGTTGAAAATGTCAGCATATATTTTGTTAAGGGTAACAACCCTAGTATCCTTCCTATACTTTCAGGGTTATATCAGATACCATGCAGCGGAGTACAAAAAACTCCTCAACAATATTGAGACATAATGCTTACACCACTATCCAAGTATAAGCATGGAAACTTAGGATTGAAAGTGAATCAACCATACGTGCAACAACTTCCCACCAAGCTACAGGCCTGAAGGCAACAAACAAGAATAATACCTGTCACATATAACCAATGATCCTTGCCACGAGATCATCTGTACAATAGTATGAATTATCCAAGTTCATACCTCTTTTCACTAAATACTTTCTTCCTTGCCAGTGACCAGAAAGTATCTTTCCAGGATCTCACTCAGAACAGAACAGGATGCCAACTCTGATACCAATTGAAATTCTGGTACATCAGACTCAAATGTCCTATGAGGATATTGAGACATCTGATCTAACACAAATGCATAGGCAAGATAAAACAGTACTGAAAAGATAAATAACACACCAAAATTGTTTACCCAGTTCGGTGTACAACAACACATAATCTGGGGGCTTCCAAGCCAAGAATGAAGTCCATTATTAGAAGTATCAATTTGCAGACCCTACAACCAACACACCCGTTGACGATCTACGCACTTAATTACTACTCAATGACCCTTCTACCTAGGTCTTCCCTAGATATGGAATATCCCCATCCCACTTCCAATCGTTGCAATGATGTCTAGCAGCCAACACCTCAGTCATTGCATCGACGATCCTTCACCAAGATTCTGATCACACGTATAGACAGTTTGGAAGACACACTTCCAGGACAACCTAGCTAAGTGTACAAGCCAAACTCCACTGTTTGTTAGCTTTGCTCCTAACACATCCTGGAGTTTCTTCAAAGCTTCCTCCAAGAACAATACACCTCTTACCTACAGGCTTCGAGGTGAAATGGTAACCTTCCCACAACCCGGGAGGTTTACCTTGACAAAACCCTAGACTTCTACATCTTGAGCCGTGTGTTTTCTAGGTTAGAAACCCTTCTATTTATAACCTGTTACCTAATTGGTTTTGGGCCTTCAATCACAGCAAGTCAGCCGTAACAAACTGCAGAAACTTCTGCCCCATGAACGGTCTTCAATCTTTAGTTTCCTAAATAATCTCCTTATTTAGAAAGTCTTCATTCTCCTTGATTTCTAATTGAATTTTCTAGATCTTTAAATATGCGTCACATAGGATGCATAATATTCTCCTGAATATTCGACCTTTGTTAAGAATAAACTGAATCTCATTAATCCAGCTCAGTAGGCGCGATGTCAAAGACATCTTCTTCGATATGTTGTTCCAGTTGTTGAAAAATTTCAACACAACATGCTCTAACATTGCAATAGGACTTCTTGTTGTACCTGTTCTTCTTAGCAGGTTTATACATCCTATTCTACATTACATGATTGCTGCTATTATTTATTTTACAAAAATTAAGCCAATCCTAAAACAAGCGAACTAACAATAATGCTTCATTAATAATTCTCTAAATGCTGACTGTGAGGGTCTAGATTTCTTCATGCACATTGAAGCGTGTTGGTCCACTCTACCATGTCTCAATATTTGTTGGTCGTTAACCATTTTTCGTATAATCAAACAAGAAAATGCATATCATAATCAAAGAAACATAACTAATGTATTAGCAAATGAAACTATAAAATAGAATACAACACAGATAAATCCAGAATTTGTTATCTGAATTAACTCTTGAACTTTAATTTTGCGTAGTTGTTAGGTTTGGTGTAGTGTGATGAGGTGTGTATGAATTTCAATAAATGTAAATTGTAAATATGGAGTTCAAAATCTAAACATTTATTTATTTAAGTTGACATGTTTTTAAGAGAGTTTGTTGTGGATTAACGCGTTCGAATTTTGAAATCCGAAATTTAAATGTATTTTAAAAATTTTACAAAGGTGTCTGAGTAACCCAGGGTGCAATATACAGTTCTCCATTTTTACTTAGTTAATTGGGCCTAAAATTGGACCCAACCAGGAGTTACATTTTTATTCGGATCAGAGGGGAATATTCTATTGGGTCGGGTTATGACAACCCTATGGAGACTCGGTCCCACTCTTTCGTTCCATCTTCTCCTTTTGTTTGTTCATTTCATTAACCTTCACCGCCATTGAAAGACAACAAATCACGTTCGAACAACCGCGATTGTTCAATCGAAGCAAAAATGGGTGGTGGAAGTAGAAGAGGAAGAGGTAGAGGAAGATCCAACAACAGCGGAAGCGGCAGTGGAAACCCTAAAATCCGCAAAAGAGGTTCAGTTGCTAGAGAAGCACTTTTTGTTGAAGGTGGATTCTTATCCGATTGGACTCCTTCCTCCTCCAACCGCAATTCAGGTTCTATCTCTTTCTCTCTGTTTGATTTCTCATAAATCTATTTTTTTTTCTTAATCAGATTAGTTATTTCATTCCAATTGCTGACAAATTATGATAATTGTTCATCCGGTTAAAGATTTTGCTTCATAGGATCTGTTTAATTTTTCCTCTTCAATTGAGTGCAGGTAGAAATGCTAGTTCCAATAACAAATCTGGGACTCTACGTAGAGGAGAAGCCTCTGCTTCTGGAAATGGATTTTCAAAATCTTTGGGGACTGCTATTGGATTCAATTATTCTTCACCTGATGTTCAGGTTCGTATGCCTTATAGTCTATGAAGCATGGACACATGAAACATAACACCGACACTATCGGTGTAGGTGTCTGACACGGACACTCACACTTTTTTTCAGAGGTATAGTTGCTACAAAGCTTATAATGAAATTTTTTATGTTATGCATTTTTTGTAGTGATTACCCAAATGGTAGAAAAAAGAAAACTGAGTTTTGGTTTAGGATTTAATGGTCTATACAGTTTACATTGTGTAAAAAGTAAATTTCTTAAACTGGGTTTTTCTTGCTAGAATTTTCCATCAAGCAACAAGTGTTATTATTTATAGCAGTGTCCATAGGTTTCTAGGTGAACAGAAAATTTTCACAGAAGTTATTACTTTAAGTGTCAACATTGTATTAAATATATTATTGATTATTGATAATATAATGACTGATTTTTTATACTCACTCGGCTACGTCATAAGTTTTTTGACTGTATATGTACTCACAAGTACTCAACAGAAAATTTTCACAGAAGTTATTACTTTAAGTGTCAACATTGTATTAAATATATTATTGATTATTGATAATATAATGACTGATTTTTTATACTCACTCGGCTACGTCATAAGTTTTTTGACTGTATATGTACTCACAAGTACTCAACATTGCAGCAATGCTTTGATCGTATAAGTACTCACAAGTTTTTTGAGTGTATTTACTTACTAGTTCAGTTACGTATCCTAGAGGAATATATTTATCAAAAAATCTACAACTTGATGAAACATAAAGGTTCAATTGTTTATCTTTGAATTTATCTCTCAGCATAGTTTTGTTAAATGTATCTGATTAAAAATGCGTTTAATTTAATTGAGCTCAGATAAGCTATGTCCATAGATCCTTCAGAGTAACTTGCATTTATCGGTATATACCAGGAGGTCTCGCGTGTTGGGATTGGGAACAGCAATGAAGATAGTAATTTAAATCAGATGCTCCAACCTTTTGTTTTGGTGGATTCCCAGCAGAATCAAATTATGGCTCATGAAGACCAGACACCTCCTCCTTCAAAGCACAGCAGTGTGGAATATAGTTACAGTTATGGCGATTTTGTTTTGGGGGACAGCTCTCATAGAGGATTAGGTTTCCCTGCTGAACATGGAAAGACCCCAAGTGGCATTGGCACATCATCTGAACAGATGCTACAGTCAACCCCAGTTTTAGATTCATCATCCTTTGAAAAGAATGTTGGTTCTGATGAGGGTATCAACTCCGAGTTAAACAATCAGATGGAAGAAGACTTGCCATCAAAGGTGTCTTCTACGAGAAATTCAGGGTTTCTGTCTATTGGAGGTCTTAAGTTATACACAGAGGACATCTCAGAGGATGAAAGCGAAGGAAATGATGTTGAAGCCTCATCTGATGAGGATGACTCTACGTCTTCTGAGCCAGAAGAAGGACTTGGATCATCTGAAAGCAATTATTCTGAAGACACATCTGACAGTGATTCAGACATTGATGACGATGTTGCAGAAGATTATTTGGAAGGAGTTGGTGGTAGTCAAAACATCATTGATGCAAAATGGTTGCTAGACCCTGTTTTGGATGACTCAGATGACGATAGTTCTTCAAGCGGTAGCTATGGTGAGGCTTTGGAGAAGTTGGGTGGCATTTCACTTCAAGACGCCTCCAGGGAATATGGTATGAAGAATGACCAACCATGGAGGAAACGATCTGTAAAGAAGCATGTTCCTTTTACCCTGGATGACCTAATGCAAGAAAAGGATCCAAGAACCATTTCTGCTAGAAAGAAGCATGTTCCTCGATTTCCTCATTCTTGGCCTTCACATGCTCAGAAGAGTAAAGCCTCCAAAAGAATCCACGGTACGACTATTCTGCACCCCCTACGTCAAAGATCCAATGCTACTCCCTTAGTTCTATGCTTTTAATTTAAGTAAATCGTTTTCGCTTATTGAATTTTACCTTTTGATTCTCAAAAGCTTTGAGTTTTTCAGTTGAAGGATGTTGTAGTAAAAAAATATCCTTGCATTAATATCATTAATTACCTGTAAAAATTTTAATCCCTTGTTTATTTTGGTTGAAATAGCAAGGCTCGGAAAGTAGCTGGTTGGTTGCATGTTTATATATGGAATTCCAGTCATTCATTTTGCTAACATGGATTCTATACAGGTGAAAAAAAGAAACTCCGTAAAGAAAGGATTGCTGTCAAGCGTAGAGAAAGAATGCTACACCGCGGTGTTGATCTCGAGAAAATTAATTCGGTATGGATTTCATCACTAATTGTAGTTATTTCTGAGTTCTTGATTAAAAAGTATGGTTTTTTCTATATCCTTTCATGCACACTTGTATTCAATGTGTTACATATGTGTAGATCAATGATATCAGTTCTATGACTGGATGATAGGTCTTTTAATTTTTGTGTGATAGGATACAGATATACTTACTCTCTGATTTGTGTTAATTTTATATCTCTGATACTCTTGGAGTGTGGGAATGGGAACATACATTTATGGAAGGTAGCACTTTTTGCGTTTTGCATTATATATAGTCGTTGTAGGAGGTGTTTGTCAACTTTCACTCGTTAATCTGCGTTTTCTGATGTATTGCTTAACACTAAATCACATATTTCTTTGTCCAGTGTAACTTCTCTTCAAAGTTACTATGCTTGACTTAGCTGTGGTTTCTCACTCTGACTTTTTTGTTGGGATTTCTAGAAACTAGAACAGATTGTTTTGGGGAAAGTGGACATGTTCTCTTTTCAGCCTATGCATTCTCGGGATTGCTCACAGGTAGGAATCCTTTCTGGTCTCTCTCACAAGTGTCCTAAAAGTACTATGGTCTAAACTTATTGGTATTTCAAATGAATACTGGTTTCTGTTTTATGTTGTATACTGGCTTCTGCTTTATTCTGTGAAGGATGTACAGTTATTATGATGATATTAACATAGGATTCAAACATAAAAATCAAATTTAGTTCTCCTATTTATAAAAAGGCTCAAGAGCACCTGTGACCCTCCTATTGTTATTTTAAAAAGATTTGGTCGTCCATTTTAAGAACTGTTTTTTTGGTCCTCCAGTTTCACTTATTTCTGAAATTCCACTCATTCTATTTTGGGGTCATTTTTGCCGATGTGGATGCTGTACACTGAATCTTGACTGCACTATTTGGATTTCACTTAAACAATTCCTTGACATAACTCTTGAAGTGTGAGAAATGGTCACTGCCAGCTCCTTGAATCAACTTGACTGCTCTTTCATTGGCCGTGTAAGCTTGTTCACGGGCCAATTTCACACCCCACTTATCAATGGCTTCAGCAACCAGCCTTTTGGATTTCTGATCAGGAGTATGTCTCTGTGTATTCACAAATAGTTTTGTAAAAATGACCCCAAAATGGGATGGAGGATGAACTTTCCATAAAAAGTGAAATCGTGGAACAAAAAACCGGTTTCTAAAATAAGGGAACAGAAGTGCATTTAAGCCTATAAAATAATATGTTGTGGCTACCTTTTTCTACTATTAAGATTCATTGAGTTTATAGAAATCATGAGAAATTAAAATATAAAAAATAATATTTTTATTTTATAGTTATAATTTATATGTTGCACCATGTTATATTTGTGTATTTTCTTAAAACCCTACACCTTACATTATAGTTGTACCAAAAAATAAATAAATTTGAATTCAATATAGATTTCTAATTCTACAATATTTTTTCACAACCTAAGATGATAATTTCAAATCGATTCAAATTTTGATAGAATTGATTTTGAAATTAAAATTCTGAACTATATAGTTCTAATTCTGTATTCCAACATCAGCTGTAAGTGGTTTTGGTATGCCGGGTTAGTGACATGATATTCATCTACTATTTAATTTGTCACGCACTCTTGTCAACCTATTCTGAGCTGTGTTGGCCTTGTAATGATCTCAGTTCTCGATGAATATAGGTACAGCGTTTGGCTGGAGTTTATCAGTTGCGGAGTAGCTGCCAAAATTCTGGGAAAAGAAGGTGATGATGATCTTCCCATATTCAATAATTGATTGTTAGTGTCTACAGTTGCAAAATTGATATCTAGTCTGATTTATGGTTTCAGATTTGTGACCGTAATGCAAACACATTCTACATCAATGCCTTCTTCAAGTGGTAGACAGCGCCTGGAAAAGGTTCTGTGGCATCACTAATTACATCTCGAAATTAATTTATTTGTACCTTGCATGCAATTTGTGATTTTCCTTCTGATTCCATCCTTGTTATTGAGATACAGTGTGACCCATCCTCTCATTTTTTCCACTCTTCCACCAATGCTATTGAAACTTCAAAACATCAATTATAAATCTCTTGATCATTCAATTCAACCATTTGCATATTTATTCGAAACTTCAAAACATCTGTACTGTAAGTTTTTTATAGCTGAGACTCACTATTTCATGGACTTCAGTTGTTAGGAGCTGATGATGAGGAAGCTGATTTTTCTGTCACGGATCCTATGAACAAGAAGTCAGCGAGTGATAGCAGAAGACTGAGAAAGAAAAATGCTAAAAGGAATGATTTTAGACTGCTAGAACTTCAATCTGGCCAGAGCAAGACACCAAAGAACTCAGCTAGCAGAGGCAGTAGTAAAGTAAAGGACAAGAAAGGGAGTGGACAAAAGATTTCATATGCTAGTCAGCCATTGTCATTTGTATCAAGTGGCATAATCCACTCAGAAACTGTACAGGTCATTGCTGTGGATTCTGAAGAGACTGAGGATGCAAATAAGAAGGGTGCCACCAGCTCTGCTGATATAGGTTCTTTTGAGGTACACACTACTGGTTTTGGTTCAAAAATGATGGCTAAAATGGGATACACGGAAGGAGAAGGATTGGGGAAAAATAGTCAAGGTATAGCACAGCCCATTGAGGTTGTTAAAAGGCCCAAATCACTTGGTTTGGGTGTGGAATTCTCTAGCAACGTTGATGAGCCAGCGCCAGCTAGGGACAAGTCTTTTGGTACTTCTGAAAAGCGTACCAAAAGCTCAGGAATTGGTTCTTTTGAAAAGCATACAAAAGGGTCTTCAAGTATTGGTTCTTCTGGAAAACATAGAAAAATATCTTCAACTTCAGGTATTGGTTCTTTTGAAAATCATACAAAAGGATCTTCAACTTCAGGTATTGGTGCTTTTGAAAAGCATACAACAGGGTTTGGATCAAAGATGATGGCAAAGATGGGGTTTGTCGAAGGTTCAGGATTAGGTAGAGAATCACAGGGCATTACTGCTCCACTGGGTGCTGTTAGGTTACCAAAGTCCCGGGGACTCGGCGCCAAAGGTTAATTTAAACGTCACGCGTTTCTGTTACTTTCTAATTGTGTATTTCTAACTTAAATGTTATGATCCTCATTGTAATTTATCATTCCCGCAGCATGACTATAGTTTTATAGCTTGTTGTTTTTTTAATTCTGGAAATAATAAAAGAACTCGGTCCTACTTCTATGGAGGGCATGTAGTTTATGATTAAGATATCTGGTACATTGAATTTGACCAACTATGAGATGGGTTCGTGTAGTTTTTATGTTTGTGTATGATACTTATGTGTTGCCAATGGAATGGACAAATGGTCTTCACAAATGGTCCCTGTTTAATCAAATCTTGTTTTTCCTCCTCTATTTTAAGGTTCTATATTTCTTTAATAATTTTTTTTTGAAAATTAAAATTTATTATGTAACCAAGTGGCTGATATTCTTCACACCAAGTGAAACTAGCTCCATTCATAACACTAATTACATCATTAATCATTCCATATTTATTTGTTAAATTTCTTAACCGCATAGCATCGTTCTCATTTCTAATTTTTATGAAATTGAGTGCTCTCATTTCTTAACCACATAACTCAAAATTTTGTGAAATTGAGTGTTTTTTTAGTCACAGGAAAATGTGAGTTAAAACTACCGCATCTGTTATCAAATCAAGAAAAGTACTAGACACCAAGAAAATGATGATGACATTGAAGCCATTCTCGTACAAATTTCAATTCTTTTATAATAATATTTTGGTTAATCTCTCATCTTCGTAGGGAGCAGTTATGCCTTTTAGATTTCAATTTAGACTTGTGTGTTTTTGATGAATGTTGTATGCAAACCATCCCACTCAACTGACAGCAAAACTAAAATATTTCATTTCTTATTCGAAATTTAAATCAGAGCTATGTTCTGTTTTGTTAACCTACATATATTTATTGATAATGAAAATGGTTTAGATCTGAGATCCTTCTTTTTTATTGGTATGGAAGCACTACTATACATTCCCTCTGGTCAAATAAGATAAAAGGCTGTACCGATTACCAATTTGATTTATTTGCACGTTCTCTAGACTTCACTTTACCTAGCTTTATGCTGAATTAAGCTTCAAAATACTAACCCGTTACGTTAATGTCAATTCAAAGATAAGTTCATTTTTAAATAGGAATATTCAATATGACAACTTTAAATCAGTTATATAACTTCAATAACAATTTTTTTCTATCGTAAGTTATAATCTGTGTTATAATTGGTGCCTCAGTATATCAAATACTTCTGCGATGCTTAATTATACTTACACTAGACATAGAAATGGAATTTACACAATGAATCACACGTTACATTGCCTTTTCATCGGAGCACTGCATAGTACAGTGTAACATCATAAATGCTTATAATTTTTAACCAAAAGACTCCTTAAATGCCTAAGCTCCTAGCACAAAGTTCATAAAAGTATTCGCAGGCATAATACAGGCTAACACAATCAAGTCAAAGCACTAAATAAGTTTTGTGCACACAAGCAAACGGAAATTACCCCAAGTGATCCGGCTCGAAATAGAATGAAAACCCTGTCTCCCCTAACCAAATCATGACAATGAGACTTACGTAAATCCTAACTCAACTGACAGAAATTTATATTGTAAAGTTGAATCATCATCATAAAGATTCAAATTTATGTTATTTTATTATAAACTAAAAATTATTAAACATTAAGAAGTCAATGTTTGATGTAAAAGATGAATAGTAAAATAATTATTATAGAGATATCAATATTTTAGCAACGGTTACGTGAGACAAAAAGCAAATAAAGTGAAGGGTAGCATGGTCATTTAGTGAATTGAGAAAAGAACACTTATGAATCCCATGATAAAAGTAAAAGGAGAAAGTGCAAGAAGTATATAAATGTGCAGTGAGTTCCACGCTTCAACGTCGGTGGCTGCACGACATAGTTCCGTTTACATTTCCATTCCTCAAAGATTCAGTGTCTTATGCTGTAAATCTCAATCTCCACTCAGATCTGACAAGGTAACTCCAATCCACCTCTCTTCCTATACAATTAACGCTTTTCCATTGCATTGCATTTTAACCTTGGCATTTTTCTTATCTGGGTCTTTCAGATCTGACTCAAATTCTTCAAAAAATGGAGTCTTTTCACATATTCAAATTATGGGTCATGGTTTTCTGTCTAGTATTTCGATTAGGGTTTGGGTTCTATCTTCCGGGTAGTTACCCTCACAATTATGCTATTGGTGATGTGTTGTCTGTGAAGGTGAATTCTCTTACTTCAATTGGTACTGAGATGCCGTTTAGTTATTATAGTTTACCCTTTTGTAAGCCTCAAGGTGGTGTTAAGGACAGTGCTGAGAATCTCGGTGAACTCCTCATGGGGGACCGGATCGAGAACTCGCCTTATAGGTTTAAGATGTATACCAATGAGTCTGAGGTTTTTTTGTGTCAAGTTGATAAGTTGTCTGGAGATCAGTTCAAGATCTTGAAAGAGAGGATTGATCAGATGTATCAGGTTAATCTTATACTTGATAATTTGCCTGCTATTCGGTTTACCAAGAAAGATGACTACTTTTTGAGATGGACTGGGTATCCTGTTGGGATTAAGATTCAGGATGTGTATTATTTGTTTAACCATCTTAGGTTTAATGTTCTTGTGCATAAATATGAGGAGACTAATGTGGCTCGTGTTATGGGGACGGGTGATGCGGCTGAGATGATTCCTCCTGTTGGTAAGGAGGTATCTGATAAGCCGGGTTATATGGTTGTTGGGTTTGAGGTTGTACCTTGTAGCATTTTGCATAATGCTGATTCGGCTAAAAACTTGAAGATGCATGAGAAATACCCGTCACCGATCAAATGTGATCCGTCTACCGTGGCAATGCCTATTAAAGAAGGCCAGCCGGTTGCGTTTACCTATGAGGTAACCTTTGAGGAGAGTGATATCAAGTGGCCATCTAGATGGGATGCTTATTTGAAGATGGAGGGAGCCAAAGTCCATTGGTTTTCGATCCTCAATTCGTTGATGGTCATCACTTTTCTTGCTGGTATTGTTCTTGTTATCTTCTTGAGAACCGTTAGGAGGGATCTGGCTAGTTATGAGGAGCTTGATAAGGAAGCTCAAGCACAGATGAATGAGGAGTTATCTGGTTGGAAGCTTGTTGTGGGGGATGTTTTCCGTGCTCCATCGAATCCTGCTTTGTTGTGTATAATGGTTGGTGATGGAGTTCAGATTCTAGGGATGGCTATTGTGACAATATTGTTTGCCGCACTTGGATTCATGTCACCGGCCTCTCGCGGAACACTTATCACAGGTATGCTGTTTTTCTACATGATACTTGGTATTGCTGCTGGTTATGTTGCAGTTCGACTATGGAGAACACTCGGAAGTGGCGACCAGAAGGGTTGGATTTCAGTTGCATGGAAAGCTGCTTGTTTCTTCCCCGGTATTGCCTTTTTGATCCTCACAATCTTAAACTTCCTATTATGGGGAAGCCACAGTACCGGAGCCATTCCATTTTCACTCTTTGTTATATTACTTTTGCTTTGGTTCTGCATTTCTGTCCCACTTACACTTGTCGGTGGTTACTTCGGAGCAAAAGCACCACACCTTGAATATCCCGTTAGAACCAACCAAATCCCTAGAGAAGTTCCTCAACAACGGTATCCGTCATGGCTTTTAGTTCTAGGTGCTGGCACCCTTCCCTTTGGAACCCTCTTCATTGAGCTCTTCTTTATCATGTCCAGCATTTGGATGGGTCGCGTGTACTACGTTTTCGGCTTTCTCTTCATTGTTTTGATCCTACTCGTGGTGGTATGTGCCGAGGTATCTCTTGTTCTAACATACATGCACCTCTGCGTCGAGGATTGGAGATGGTGGTGGAAATCATTCTTCGCCTCTGGTTCCGTTGCATTGTACATCTTTTTGTATTCCATAAACTATCTCGTATTCGATCTCAAGAATCTGAGTGGACCTGTTTCCGCAACGCTTTACCTCGGATATTCACTCTTCATGGTTCTGGCAATCATGTTGGTGACAGGCACAGTTGGATTCCTCTCTTCATTCTGGTTTGTTTACTACTTGTTCTCTTCTGTGAAGTTGGATTGAGGATTTAGCTCTCTACAGAGAACAGTTTCTATCATATGGGGACCCTTGAAAATGTTGAATTTATGTGTTATTTTATTTCAGTTCATTGTAGTAGAAAGCATAGAAAATTTTATAGGGAAATAATGTTATCAAGTTTTGCTTATTTCATTGTTAGATATAATATTACTGCATTATTAAGTTGGTATTCTGAAATTTATAATGTACTTTTGCTGTTGAAGTTGGAGAATGCAATGCTCGAGTTATATTTTTGTTTTATTCTTCTTACAATTGGCGCCTCTCTTCAAAGATGAAATAAAAAACCATTTGTTCTTTATTAGTGATTCTACTTACTCTTTGCACTAGAACTAATAACTGTAAAATGATTTAAAAAATATATTTAATATTTTTCAATCAAGAGAGTAAAGGTGAAGTTGAAAGAAAAATAATAAGTTATAAGTTGGAATGAGTTTATAAGAGAATGGCTGAAGTCCTTTAAAATAAGTTACAAATTTGTGACTAAATGGCGTTTCCAAACAATTTTTTTAACATACGAGTATAAAACGTAAACCACAAATTTAAAATGTTATTAAACTAATTGATGATCACATTTTTGAATAAACTCTATAAATAAACTTTATTAATATAATCATGGACGACTCATCTTAGATAAAAAATATGTAAAATTCTTAGATAGAATTTAAATTTTATAAATTTTAAATAATATTTAAAATCAAAGTTTTTTAAATCCTTCTTGTATTCTATAGAATTTAAATGTCAAATCTATAAATATAACAAGATTAATTGTTCTAGAAAGTTCAATTTTTCTCTCATCTTGTTGTCGGCCATATATTCAAAATGAGGGCATTTAATATCTAAAAATTATTTTATTCGACTAAAATGTGTCTGGTTCTTTTCTAGAACTTTTTTAGCAATAATCAAATATT